GTAGAAGCTGTAAAAAGTGGTTAATCCCTTTCTATAAAGTTTATTATTTATGTATTTGATTGTCATTTCCGTCTATTCACTGATTCATGGAAAAAAACTTTGTTAGACATTAGGTTGGAAGATTTTTATGCAAGTCACTAAATAAAAATAAAAAAGGTAATTGCAACTTTTCATCTTGCAATTCTGACTTTTTTCTCTGGATTGTGTGATACAAAGTCGCAATTGCGAGTTATAAAGTCAGAATTGTGAGAAAATAGTCTTGTTTTTCCTCAGGATTGGACTTTATAACTGCTTCTTTCTCAGAAAATAAGTCAGAATTGATAGAAAAAAATTTACAATTACTTTTTTATTTTTTATTTTGTGGCAGAAACGGGCTTCCATAGATAATGTACTGTAGTGTGTTTGTGTGCTACTAGTGGCACAAAGCAGAATTGCAGTGGTTTTTTGTGTAGAAATGGCACACTTCTCCTGCTCTCTCTGTAGAATGACATCTACGAATGGTCTCGAGATCACCGCGTTCACCACAAATACTCCGAGACGGATGCCGACCCTCACAACGCTGTGCGAGGCTTTTTCTTCTCTCACATCGGCTGGCTGCTGGTCCGCAAGCATCCGGACGTCATTGAGAAGGGACGCAAGCTGGAGCTCAGCGACCTGAAGGCTGATAAAGTGGTCATGTTCCAGAGGAGGCAAGTCTGAGATCACTTTGTGTGTCAGTCAGACTGGCGGTGTGTGGCCAGAGTAAACCGTGTAACTGGGTTTGATTGAACTGTGTCAGGTTCTACAAGTCGTCTGTGCTGCTGATGTGCTTCTCCGTGCCGACACTCGTGCCGTGGTTGGTGTGGGGCGAGTCTCTGTGGGTGGCGTATTTCGTCCCTGCTCTCCTCAGATACGCGCTTGTGCTCAACGCCACCTGGCTGGTTAACAGCGCCGCGCACATGTGGGGTAACCGGCCCTACGACGGCAGCATCAACCCCCGGGAGAACAGATTCGTGGCCTTCAGCGCTATAGGTACGTCTGATATACTCCACATGAAAGCAGCGAGCAGTGGGGGTCAAATGAGGCTTTTTCAGCATCATCGTTTCCAGTAAGAACTGGTGACGAGACCAAGTTGAGCAGAGTTTAACTTGAACGACCAATGACGTGCAGACAACTGAGTTCACAAAAACAAGAAAAAAAATATTCAAGGAGCTGAAACATATTTTTGGGACAGTTAAGCACACTTAACCTTGAGTTTGCAGTAATGCAAAACATTTTTATTGTTAAAAAAAAAATAGCTGAATCACTACTTGCAATATTGAAAAATACAAAAGAATAAAATGTTAACAGTAATGAGATTTTGTTTGGAGTAAAATGTCCTTAATGCTCAATTTTCGTTATGAAAAATATAAGTTTTACACAAAAAAAAAGTATATACATTTTATATATTTATATATATATATGCATGTATGTGTGTGTATATACACATTAGAAATTATATTTCTATTATGTATATAAATATATATACTATACACACTACAAATGATATACCCATATATATATAATAGAAATATAATTTCTAATATTTTGTAGAAATATATAAATAATTATATATTCACTAAATATTAGAAATTATATGTCTATTATATTTAGAATATATATATTTGATGTACAAAAAAGTATGAATTTATATATAATGATATCATTATGTAATTTTGGAGGAAAATGTGCTTAATTGTCATGAAAATCTATCATGGAAAAGTAAAATAAATAAACGCTTAATTGTCATTATGACAAAATATAATTTATTCTATCATTCTATATACAAGAAATATATAATTATATTTTTGCCAAATATTGGAAATACATTTTCTGTTATATTTATAGTATTGTTTTGATATATAATAATAATAATATATATATATATATATACATATACACCATTCAAAATTATTAATAGAAAAAATAATTTCTTATAGTTTGCATTTGCTTAGATTGTGTATTGATGAATCACCTCCTGGTTTAATTTCTCAGGTGAAGGCTTTCATAACTACCACCACACGTTTCCCTTCGACTACGCCACCAGCGAGTTCGGCTGCAAACTCAACCTGACCACCTGCTTCATTGACTTCATGTGTTTCCTGGGTCTGGCCCGAGAGCCCAAGCTGGTGTCCAGAGAGGCCGTGCTGGCTCGAGCTCAGCGCACCGGAGACGGCAGCCACCGGAGCGGCTAACGAGCGCCGTCCGTCCTAACGAACTGCACACCTGAAAACAGAAGGACGTCTGCTCTTCCGGCGCTGCTTCATGTCAGATGACAAATGTTGTGTTTCCCAGTCTAGCCTGTGAAGCTTTAATACGGGGATCTGACCTGTTTGTGTAGCGCTTATTCCGATCTTCTTCCTCTTCTCGACAGCAGATGTAGATATTTTTGAGTCCAGTCTTGTAGCTGATTTGCCAGTTTACTCAAACCCTGTTGCCCTCCCGGCCCTTTTTGTGCGCATCTTACCAAATCTAGCTGTGCAGTTTGGTAGAAATGAACTAAGATGCACATCTATTTAATATTCAACAGATGCACCGTACTGCATCTGGACTAAATAGAGATCAGATGCAGACGTAGTTCATAATTTAATATTGCCAATCTATTTTGTTGCCATACTTGCACAAATGGTTCAATTGCGTGAATTCCAAGGAATCTGTATTGATGATTCGTGATTATATTTTTTGACCACAGCACAAATACGACAGACGTTACCGCCGATTGAGATCAATTTAATGTCTAATCTGTAAACGCACTTATTTGAGTAACATTGACTTACAATTAACAGTAATTTCGAGGTCACCGACGACTACAGAGAAGGAATCTGTCGCTGGATTGAATGGTTGAGGTTGCGTGAGAATGACGGCGTGTATTGATTCCTCATTATTAGGTACTGTGGAATGTATAGTTTGGTTTTGTATTATAATTAATCGTGCAACACCATACTTTTGAGTCCCGCTTTAACGTTTTCATCTTCTAAATACGTCTGTAGCGTGAGCATGCTGTGTTAATACAGACCTCTTTTCTATGGCAAAATAATACAGACGGACGAATCTGTGGATTCACAGTAATTATAATAACTCATGTGTGTTATGATGCCAAAAGCCATTGTGTTGCATGCAATCCGAATTGGTGCAAACTGAGGTTTTTGCTCTAGTTCACCTGTATGTTTAATCAAACATAATGTATTTTCAGAGAGTTTTCAGTGCTATTTTTCCATTTTTGGATTTCATTTCACAAGTTGCTTGTAATTAAATTGTTTGGTAACTTTAAAAAGTATTCGGATTGGAGTTCTTTGAAGACTTTATACTGTATTTTGACTCCCGTGCCTCTCACCCAGGACAGATCGCCTTATTTTTACTCTTGACGCTTGTGACTCAAGATGCCAAAAATGCGGTTGTGATATTTCTCATGCTGCTTGGAAGAAGCCTTTGGCTCTTAAAACTAAAGTGATGCTCCTGTTTGCGATAGTCGGTAGACACTTGTTTAATAATCATTTACTGGAAATAAAGTCTCAAGCACAGAGCTTCTGCACTTTCTGACACGTGTCTGAGTTCTGCACTTCATTTCTGCCACTTTTCTCTGTTTTGTGACATTTTAAAATCATTTTAGCAGTTCTACTTGAATCTTTTGAACTTATATCAGTTTGTATCATGCAATTCTGAGAAAAAAGTCAGACTTGCTAGATCTACAGCCCTGATCTCTGAGAGTTTTCCTGCTGTTTTTTGCACAGCTCATAATCACACACTTCATGTCTGAGCTTGTGTCGGATTCTCTCTGGCAGCTTGTCAGTAATGGCATGTATCCAGACTGCTGAATCAGCACTAGTTTCCACAGTCACAGCAGAGACACGGATTCGTTTTAATCAGACTGATATAACAACTATTTCACAGGTTTTGCATGCGTGCAGTTTGGGAGAGGAAACAACAGGAAGGCTACACTAATTAATGCAATTACTAAACATGAAGTACTTCAGTGTCATTTGGCCTCCAGATAGTGAGACACACAGAGCCAGAACCACAGTGTTATTACCGGCCACTGCGGCGTTGCGTCATCACGGCGGAAGGTTACAAGCGTTCACAACATCTCGGGAATGTCAACAGCAGATCAGCGGCAGCCAATCAGCAGCGCCGTATGACCCCGCCGGACCAATCAGCGAGCGCCTCTGATGAAATCATACAGCGGCGCCAAAATGAGACACTAACGGTTGCGGTTTCACAGAGCCGCATTCATTTAGAGCTTCTCGTGTGGAAACTCAGCAGGTGTGTGTCGCGTCATGATAAACCCAGCGGGAAAATCCGCAGTCAACTAGTAAAAGTAGTTAACCATGAATGAAAGTGCAGTTTTTTCCCCGTTTTTGTCAAAATGCCACATGCAAGCGCAAATATTACTACTGAATTTGATGCATTAATATTTCTGTTCATGAATATTACATGAATATATAAATATATATTGCAAGATATATTAATAATATATCGTTTTATAAATAATTATAAAATTGAATAGTTTATAAATAATGTATAAAATAAAAAAGATGGTCGGGTCATAGTTCACGTAATAAAATAGTAGATTTCATTATGGAATTTCCATGGAGTTAAATGCATCTTGTTTTTAGGTTGATAAGGAATGTTTTGAATTCTAAAATGTTTCTTTCTCGCCCTCTACAGGATAAACTCAAAATCAAAACCCTAAAAACCCTCATGTTCTGATGAGATTGTCTCCAATGACACCATGATTTGTGTACAAAATGTTGCATTTTCCCTTCAAAATCTTTAATGCTCCTCCAAACCTGCAGCAGATCAAGGTTTTGAGGTTCATTAAAATTACAAACAGGTGTGTTGGAAATAAATCTGTTAAGTTCCAACACAAAAACAATTACTCTGAAGAACTATATTGTTTTTATCATCCTTTAATTGCTTGATATGCCCCTTAACAAAAACAATGTAAAGAAATAGCTGTGACACATTGAGCATTTATGAATGTTGTGTATATTTTTCTTCAAGAGTTTGACTCACGGCCTCAGAATGAACTGCTTTCATGATGCACACAGACACATGAACACATTTGACCAGGTTAACTGTTTAGTTACATTCGGTTTCTTTGCTCTGTTGAAGTACTGAAGAATCTCACAAAAACAGGGCATATTTCACCTCAAAAATCAAGAGAAATTACATTTTGAATAAATAAAGAGTATTTTAGGACCATTAATGTTTAACAGAGTTGGCATTTAAAAAAAAAAAATGTTATTCTTGCTTTTATTCATTGATTTTGGGGTGAAATAACACCTGGACACTTTCTCTCCAGGTTTCATCACACTCGCTTCAGCCCGAAGTCTTGCAGAATTCAGTGGCATTCATCTGTTGCAATGGATTGAAGGACATTAATGAAGCTCGGAACATTAAAAAACACTGGACCTCAGCCATGAAATGCATTCAGAACGAATCATGACAAAATCACGTTCTTACATTCTCACTTTGAATTGAATGTGACAATTTACACTAAACTTTTACTGAACAATTATGCATGGAAAATCGTTCTGCTTGTGTAGACTGAACTGAATGCAATAATTTACATGATAATTTACAATAATTGGTTCGGCTTGTTTTAAGGCCCATTTTTAGGCAAACAGTTGCATGCAATAATATTTTATAAACAATTGTGCACAGAAAGTCATTCTGCTCGTGTAGATTCTCACATTGAATTGAATGCAACAATTTACAGAAGAATTATTTTACAAATGATTTCCACAAATTTTGGTTCTTTTGAAAGGCCTTTTAAGGCAAACCGTTCAATTCAATGCAATGCAATTTATGAAACAACTTTGCAAACAATTACACATTGCATTCTCACACTGAACTGAATGCAGTAATTTAGACAAATCGGTTCGGCTTGTTTTAAGGCCTATTTTTAGGCAAACAGTTGCATTCAATTCAATGCAATAATTTTTTATGAACAATTATGCACAGACAGTTGTTCTGCTTGAGTAGATTTTCACATTGAGTTGAATGCAACAATTACGTGATAATTATTTTACAAACGATTTGCACAAATTGGTTTTGCTTGTTTTAAGGCAAACCTGTGCATGCAATGCAACGCAATGGTTTTACGAATAATTATGCATGAAGTCGTTCTGCTTGTGTTTCATGACAAAGTTCTCACGTTTTCACACTGAATTAAATGCGACAGTTTAGCTTGGTTTAAGGCCTATTTTGAGGCAAATGTTGGCATTTAATTCAATGCAATTTATGCAATCATTTTTATGAACAATTATAAAGTTGAATGAAGTAGAGATGAATGCCACAATTTGCCTTTTGCACAAATTGGTTCGGCTTGTTTTTCAGGCAAACCGTTGCAGTCAATGCAACACAATTTATGCAATAACAATTACGCATGGCATTCTCACTTTGACCTGAATGCAATAATTCACACAAATTGGTTCTGCTTGGTTTAAGGCCTATTCTTAGGCAAACAGTTGCATTCAATTCAATGCAATTTATGCAATAATGTTTTTTTTAATGAACAATTATGCACAGAAAGTTATTGTTTGTACACATTCTAACACTGAATTGAATGCAACAATTTATGCAAGAATGATTTTTACAAATGTTTTACAAATTAATTCTGCTTGTGTTTTAAGGCCTATTTTTAGGCAAACTGTTGCATTCAATTCAACGCAATTTATGCAATACTATTTTTATGAATATATCCACACAAAAAGTGGTTCTGCTTGTTGTGGGATGAATAAGGCCTGCTGCATGGAAGGAGAATCCCAAACACATGAGAAGAACACCAGCAGTGTGATATTAATGCTGCACTCATTCTTAAAGCACAGTTCAGCGGCAGATCAAAACACAAGTGGAACCCGGATCTACCGTGGAGCGCTGGAGTCACACGGCCAGCTTGTTGGCGATGGTCATTACTGCATCTGGACTAAATAGAGATCAGATGCAGACGTAGTTCATAATTTAATATTGCCAATCTATTTTGTTGCCATACTTGCACAAATGGTTCAATTGCGTGAATTCCAAGGAATCTGTATTGATGATTCGTGATTATATTTTTTGACCACAGCACAAATACGACAGACGTTACCGCCGATTGAGATCAATTTAATGTCTAATCTGTAAACGCACTTATTTGAGTAACATTGACTTACAATTAACAGTAATTTCGAGGTCACCGACGACTACAGAGAAGGAATCTGTCGCTGGATTGAATGGTTGAGGTTGCGTGAGAATGACGGCGTGTATTGATTCCTCATTATTAGGTACTGTGGAATGTATAGTTTGGTTTTGTATTATAATTAATCGTGCAACACCATACTTATCTTTTGAGTCCCGCTTTAACGTTTTCATCTTCTAAATACGTCTGTAGCGTGAGCATGCTGTGTTAATAAAGACCTCTTTTCTATGGCAAAATAATACAGACGGACGAATCTGTGGATTCACAGTAATTATAATAACTCATGTGTGTTATGATGCCAAAAGCCATTGTGTTGCATGCAATCCGAATTGGTGCAAACTGAGGTTTTTGCTCTAGTTCACCTGTATGTTTAATCAAACATAATGTATTTTCAGAGAGTTTTCAGTGCTATTTTTCCATTTTTGGATTTCATTTCACAAGTTGCTTGTAATTAAATTGTTTGGTAACTTTAAAAAGTATTCGGATTGGAGTTCTTTGAAGACTTTATACTGTATTTTGACTCCCGTGCCTCTCACCCAGGACAGATCGCCTTATTTTTACTCTTGACGCTTGTGACTCAAGATGCCAAAAATGCGGTTGTGATATTTCTCATGCTGCTTGGAAGAAGCCTTTGGCTCTTAAAACTAAAGTGATGCTCCTGTTTGCGATAGTCGGTAGACACTTGTTTAATAATCATTTACTGGAAATAAAGTCTCAAGCACAGAGCTTCTGCACTTTCTGACACGTGTCTGAGTTCTGCACTTCATTTCTGCCACTTTTCTCTGTTTTGTGACATTTTAAAATCATTTTAGCAGTTCTACTTGAATCTTTTGAACTTATATCAGTTTGTATCATGCAATTCTGAGAAAAAAGTCAGACTTGCTAGATCTACAGCCCTGATCTCTGAGAGTTTTCCTGCTGTTTTTTGCACAGCTCATAATCACACACTTCATGTCTGAGCTTGTGTCGGATTCTCTCTGGCAGCTTGTCAGTAATGGCATGTATCCAGACTGCTGAATCAGCACTAGTTTCCACAGTCACAGCAGAGACACGGATTCGTTTTAATCAGACTGATATAACAACTATTTCACAGGTTTTGCATGCGTGCAGTTTGGGAGAGGAAACAACAGGAAGGCTACACTAATTAATGCAATTACTAAACATGAAGTACTTCAGTGTCATTTGGCCTCCAGATAGTGAGACACACAGAGCCAGAACCACAGTGTTATTACCGGCCACTGCGGCGTTGCGTCATCACGGCGGAAGGTTACAAGCGTTCACAACATCTCGGGAATGTCAACAGCAGATCAGCGGCAGCCAATCAGCAGCGCCGTATGACCCCGCCGGACCAATCAGCGAGCGCCTCTGATGAAATCATACAGCGGCGCCAAAATGAGACACTAACGGTTGCGGTTTCACAGAGCCGCATTCATTTAGAGCTTCTCGTGTGGAAACTCAGCAGGTGTGTGTCGCGTCATGATAAACCCAGCGGGAAAATCCGCAGTCAACTAGTAAAAGTAGTTAACCATGAATGAAAGTGCAGTTTTTTCCCCGTTTTTGTCAAAATGCCACATGCAAGCGCAAATATTACTACTGAATTTGATGCATTAATATTTCTGTTCATGAATATTACATGAATATATAAATATATATTGCAAGATATATTAATAATATATCGTTTTATAAATAATTATAAAATTGAATAGTTTATAAATAATGTATAAAATAAAAAAGATGGTCGGGTCATAGTTCACGTAATAAAATAGTAGATTTCATTATGGAATTTCCATGGAGTTAAATGCATCTTGTTTTTAGGTTGATAAGGAATGTTTTGAATTCTAAAATGTTTCTTTCTCGCCCTCTACAGGATAAACTCAAAATCAAAACCCTAAAAACCCTCATGTTCTGATGAGATTGTCTCCAATGACACCATGATTTGTGTACAAAATGTTGCATTTTCCCTTCAAAATCTTTAATGCTCCTCCAAACCTGCAGCAGATCAAGGTTTTGAGGTTCATTAAAATTACAAACAGGTGTGTTGGAAATAAATCTGTTAAGTTCCAACACAAAAACAATTACTCTGAAGAACTATATTGTTTTTATCATCCTTTAATTGCTTGATATGCCCCTTAACAAAAACAATGTAAAGAAATAGCTGTGACACATTGAGCATTTATGAATGTTGTGTATATTTTTCTTCAAGAGTTTGACTCACGGCCTCAGAATGAACTGCTTTCATGATGCACACAGACACATGAACACATTTGACCAGGTTAACTGTTTAGTTACATTCGGTTTCTTTGCTCTGTTGAAGTACTGAAGAATCTCACAAAAACAGGGCATATTTCACCTCAAAAATCAAGAGAAATTACATTTTGAATAAATAAAGAGTATTTTAGGACCATTAATGTTTAACAGAGTTGGCATTTAAAAAAAAAAAATGTTATTCTTGCTTTTATTCATTGATTTTGGGGTGAAATAACACCTGGACACTTTCTCTCCAGGTTTCATCACACTCGCTTCAGCCCGAAGTCTTGCAGAATTCAGTGGCATTCATCTGTTGCAATGGATTGAAGGACATTAATGAAGCTCGGAACATTAAAAAACACTGGACCTCAGCCATGAAATGCATTCAGAACGAATCATGACAAAATCACGTTCTTACATTCTCACTTTGAATTGAATGTGACAATTTACACTAAACTTTTACTGAACAATTATGCATGGAAAATCGTTCTGCTTGTGTAGACTGAACTGAATGCAATAATTTACATGATAATTTACAATAATTGGTTCGGCTTGTTTTAAGGCCCATTTTTAGGCAAACAGTTGCATGCAATAATATTTTATAAACAATTGTGCACAGAAAGTCATTCTGCTCGTGTAGATTCTCACATTGAATTGAATGCAACAATTTACAGAAGAATTATTTTACAAATGATTTCCACAAATTTTGGTTCTTTTGAAAGGCCTTTTAAGGCAAACCGTTCAATTCAATGCAATGCAATTTATGAAACAACTTTGCAAACAATTACACATTGCATTCTCACACTGAACTGAATGCAGTAATTTAGACAAATCGGTTCGGCTTGTTTTAAGGCCTATTTTTAGGCAAACAGTTGCATTCAATTCAATGCAATAATTTTTTATGAACAATTATGCACAGACAGTTGTTCTGCTTGAGTAGATTTTCACATTGAGTTGAATGCAACAATTACGTGATAATTATTTTACAAACGATTTGCACAAATTGGTTTTGCTTGTTTTAAGGCAAACCTGTGCATGCAATGCAACGCAATGGTTTTACGAATAATTATGCATGAAGTCGTTCTGCTTGTGTTTCATGACAAAGTTCTCACGTTTTCACACTGAATTAAATGCGACAGTTTAGCTTGGTTTAAGGCCTATTTTGAGGCAAATGTTGGCATTTAATTCAATGCAATTTATGCAATCATTTTTATGAACAATTATAAAGTTGAATGAAGTAGAGATGAATGCCACAATTTGCCTTTTGCACAAATTGGTTCGGCTTGTTTTTCAGGCAAACCGTTGCAGTCAATGCAACACAATTTATGCAATAACAATTACGCATGGCATTCTCACTTTGACCTGAATGCAATAATTCACACAAATTGGTTCTGCTTGGTTTAAGGCCTATTCTTAGGCAAACAGTTGCATTCAATTCAATGCAATTTATGCAATAATGTTTTTTTTAATGAACAATTATGCACAGAAAGTTATTGTTTGTACACATTCTAACACTGAATTGAATGCAACAATTTATGCAAGAATGATTTTTACAAATGTTTTACAAATTAATTCTGCTTGTGTTTTAAGGCCTATTTTTAGGCAAACTGTTGCATTCAATTCAACGCAATTTATGCAATACTATTTTTATGAATATATCCACACAAAAAGTGGTTCTGCTTGTTGTGGGATGAATAAGGCCTGCTGCATGGAAGGAGAATCCCAAACACATGAGAAGAACACCAGCAGTGTGATATTAATGCTGCACTCATTCTTAAAGCACAGTTCAGCGGCAGATCAAAACACAAGTGGAACCCGGATCTACCGTGGAGCGCTGGAGTCACACGGCCAGCTTGTTGGCGATGGTCATGAGCACTTTGAGGACAGGCATGAAGGCAGAGATCTCGCTGAAGTTGCTGCTGCTCACCACCTGCGTGTGAACCTCCAGACCCTGCTGATAGTTACGGCCGCCGACGCAGCGGCTGATCTCGTGCAGGCCGCCGAGGATGCTGGGAGAGAGCTGAGGACACACGAGAGGTTTATTAGGATGCCTTAGAAACTGAAGACACGGAATAAACGTCCTCAACTCACCGCTTGGTCTCGCAGCTTGTCGTACAGACTCTCCAGACGCTTGGAGGCATCGTCCAGTTTGCGCTTCGTTTGCTGCAAGGGAAGTTCATATATGTGACCCTGGAGCACAAAACCAGTCATAAGGGTCAATTTTTCGAAACTGAGATGTATACATCATCTGAAAGCTGATAAATAAGCTTTCCATTGATGTATGGTTTGTTAGGATCGGACAATATTTGGCTGAGATACAACTATTTGAAAATCTGGAATCTGAGGGTGCAAAAAAATCTAAATATTGAGAAAATCATCTTTAAAGTTGTTCAAAAAAATGCAAGTTCTTAGCAATGCATATTACTAATCAAAAATTAAGTTTTGATATATATTTGGTAGGAAATTTACTAAATATCTTCATGGAACATGATCTTTACTTAATATCCTAATGATTTTTGGCATAAAAGAAAAATTGATAATTTTGACCCATACAGTGTATTTTTGGCTATTGCTACAAATATACCCCAGCGACTTAACACTGCTTTTGTGCTCCAGGGTCACATATGAAATATACAAGTCCAGTTCACAGCTCACTGGTCAGAAATCTGGCCACTTACACAGGAAGAGACTGCATTTACATTGGCACAGAAAGTCTGGTTTTTCAGACACAGATCGGATATTGTTGCACATCCGGATTTTTCTTTACAAACCTCTTCCAAATGTGCTTTTTAATCAGATACTGGACATTATTTTTAACTCTGATTTTGATTCGATTAAGAAAAAAAAAATTATATAGCAGTAATACACAAAAAAAGGAAAAAAATAAATAAATAGAACAAGGGGTAGACATTCAGTAAAGATGAGTTTTCTTAATGTTCCTTGAATAAAACCTCGCAGCTTCTTATATTGAGGCAGAAACTGTCATTAATTTAATTCATCACAAATTAATCCGTCATCAGTTTGGGCTGAGAAATGACCCCTGAAAAGATCATTCAAAGTCATTATTGTTTTAAATGAGAAAAGCACTGAATAGACATTACAAGAAATATTCTGACTCCAAATTAATGATACTAAATGGGTATTTATATTTTCTTTGTAAACAGAATATTGAAATGATTTTAAAAAAATGAAATGATAAATATGAAACAAAAACCAACAGATTCTGCGTAATTAATTCAAATAAATGTAATCTTTGCACTTTATTTCACTTTAGAATTCTAGATCTAACCATCTATAGATAAAATTATAAGTGTAGCTAGACTCACCCAAATAAGATTTAAAACAGACTAAACAAAATCAAGATGTTATTTCAATGCTTTTTATGGAAATTCTTCAGCTGTGATTGGACGGGGGAAATGGCTGGTTGTGCAGGTTTTGAGAGGGCTTTGCGCTGGAAATTGTTCTGGGATCTGGCAACCCTGACGCTGGCAGCCTTTGATACAACTAACCTGGCAAACTTTTGGCAAATTCAGTGACTAGTGCAATAGACTGTATTTTGTAAACACGACCCTGTATCTGTGGACAGATAGAAAATTGCAACAATTCCAGACGGTTACATAAAGCCCGATTGAGAAAGCTCTTTTTGTTGCTCTCAGGTTTGTATGTGATCTGTCTCGTGTTTGTGTGTCTATGTGTGTGTTTGTGTTTGTGCATGCGTGCGTGCGTGTGTGTGTGTGTGTGAGAGAGAGAGAGTGTGTTTTTGTGTGTGTATGTGTGTGTGAGTGTGTGTGCGCGTGTTTTTGTGATTTATGAGGACGCAAATTTATGAGGACACAAATTTGTATAATGACATGGGTGTGTGTGTGTGTGTGTGTGTGTGAGAGAGAGTGTGTGAATGTGTGTGTGTGAGTGCTCTCGTCCAAGCGTCTGTCCCTGGAGTCAGAAAATGATGCCATGATGAGCGATAATGAGCCGGTTCAGAGAACACCCTGTCCATCACAGCTCTCCTACAGGACAACAATGATAAACAACAAACATCAGCATCATCATCACAAACATATGCTGAGATCTTCAGCCTACAGAAGACAAATGTGTTTAATGAAGCATAACATAACATAACATAACATAACATAACATAACATAACAACATAACATATAACATAACAACATATAACATAACATAACAACATAACACATAACATAACATAACATATAACATAACATAACATAACATATAACATATAACATAACATAACATAAATATAAATGATAAAAAAATATATATATAAACAAACAAACAAACAAAAAAAATAAAATAAAATAAAATAAATATATTTTTTTTTGTCAGTATTTACTGGAACAATTTTAAGGAAGCTTTTCAATGTCTAACTGAGCTCAGTACCAACCCGAAGTCTGATGAGGCAGCACTTTAAATGTGGAAATGCATTATAAATAAATAATGCAGATCTTTTTGGTTCAGCTTTTATAAATACTGGACGAAGCCTCTTTCACCTTCAACAGATGTGTGCAGTGAGCCAAAATGCGTCTGAAATCAAACATGAACTATAACATTCAAAAGTTTGGGATCAGTCTCTTCTGCTCACCAATGCTGCATTTATTTGATCACAAACCCAATAAAACAGTAAAAATTGTGAAATATTATTACAATTTAAAATAACTGTTTTCTATGTGAATATCTGTTAAAATGAAATTTATTTCTGTGATCAAAGCTGAATTTTCAGCATCATTACTCCAGTCTTCAGTGTCACATGATCTTCAGAAATCATTCTAATATGCGGATTTACTGATCAAGAAACATTTCTGATTATTATCAATGTTGAAAACAGTTGTGCAACTGTGAAATATCATTCCTGATGATTCATATATTTTCATTTCATTCAGAAAATGGGTTATAAAATCAATTATGCTGTGATTTATTCACTTGTTTGTGTCTTTCTCACTCACCCACGCTTTCTTCCACTGCTGCAGGAGTGTGTTGTGGTCGGTCAGAGCGTGTTTCCAGCGATCCACGTCTCTGAGAGGAACGCCGGCCTCATCTGCGAGCAAACAAGAGACATGATACACCACGTTACAGGTCAGACTAACACAGCAGTGCGATGAAACACTTTACCTCTGCTGTTGAGCCGAAGGTCCACTTTAGACACGTCGTTTCCCGCTTCAGACACTGCTGTACACTCGTACTGGACGTCTTTATTCAAAGCTTCCTCCTTCAGCCAGCTGCTCACCAGCACGGCATCACGGGAAACCACATGTCTGTATTCAGTGACGCGAGTCTCGAGTTTCTGCCCGTTTATGTGCCACTCAACACTTACATCTCTAGGACCTGAAGGAAAACTGCACTTACATATGGATCCTACAGGGTAATTAGCACTCCAATATACACACATTCAGTGTGAACAAGACACTTCAAATGATCTTCCATTCACAGCCGAAAGCACCATCATGCTGTTTGTGTTATGACACTCTCATACGACATGCATAATAAACGGTAGGTTCAGATC